CACTTCACATGGCTATGGCGGCACATCGCCTGAACAACTCTCTGCTCGTCGCTCCCTCGACACTGCTGTTCGCATACAGGATCACCCTGGATACCCCACACGCACACCCTGTACACTTGCGCACACACTCACACACACCTACAGCTAAGGCGGCTATGGCCGCTTCTACCCTATCGCTATGGCTAACTCCTTCTCGCCCTGAATGAATGATTGGGCGCTGCCTCCTGATTTATACTTCTGTAGCTCGCTGGTCTGGCCCTTTTCCCTCGGCCCATTGTGCACACAGTCCCGTACGGTACTTGCTGGACTGGACTGGGACTGACTGGACTGTAATGCTGACTGCATGGGGTTGGACTGCAGCCTCGCTGTAGTGGCACTGCCAACGCACTGAGGTTGGCTCCACCACTTGCCCACTTGCCTCTGTCTAAACGTGGACCTACTCCGAAAGGCCACTTCCGGAAGTCTGTTGACTTGGCCTTTCGGTACTGTAGCAGCTACGACCTTGACCTTTCAGGACTGTAGCAGCTACGACCTTGACCCTTCGGACAGGCTACAGCTACGACTTCTAGAACTCACTAGGACTCCTATCCGACAGGTCTACAGATCAAACCCCTACCCCTACTCCGACCTACGACAGACAACAACAACTGTCAAAACACAGGTCATGGGTTCAAACACTCGGGGTCAACACAGATACTGTACACAGGTAAGGTGAGAACTAGGGATCGAGCCCTGGGATCTGCACTCGCTACTGCTGACAGGTGAAAACCGTTTCATTGCTCATTTTCCTTGCAAAAATAGAAACCGTGAAAAAAAAAGCCAAAAGAGGCCTGGGCCGCTGCTTTCCTCCCTCTTGTATATTCTCCCCCTTTCCTTTGATGGGTGGAAAATACTTGCTTGGCGGTGATAAGCAACCGGACTGATGACCCCCAGAATAGATGGGGCTTTGTTGTTGGGGAAAAAAAAAAACCCCTTAAAAAAAGCCAAAAGAAAGAAAGAAAAGAAAGAAGTGCACAGAAACATAAACAGAAGATGGAATCAGATGAATGCAATGATGTTAAAAGTGCACAGAAACATAAACAGAAGATGGAATCAGATGAATGCAATGATGTTAAGAGTGCACAGAAACATAAACAGAAGATGGAATCAGATGAATGCAATGATGTTAAGGGCTACCCCCTTTTCTTTGAAAAAAAAAAAGAACTTCACAGAAAAAGTCAACAAAGATGACTTCAGTGTGCCTCCTGTTGTGTGCTCCTTTTCTGCATTTGTTTCGCAAAATGTGCTCGTTCAGTTAATAGTAACTTAATAGTACTATTAAGTTACTATTTAATTAATACATACGCGCTACTACGAGGCATACAGCAGCTACACACTCTCAAGTTGTCAATATCTTATCCTGTAAGTCCAAGGATTCTTTACACAAGTTTGCATTCCCCATTTTCAACATTTTGTGTTTCAGCAGCGTTCTGATAGGGAAGCCGAGCCAGCATTTGCACGTCGGAGATACTGGAATAAAGGCGCATAGTACTGCATACTATATAGCTGTGTGACAATGTTCATCAACGTGGGGAGCCTTGTACGTGAGAGGCACGGGGAAGGGGGAGTTGAAAGAAGAATGAGAAAACTGAATGGTTTCAGTGTGCCCCTCATCTTTGTCTTGTTTTTTAATCTTTACCGTTTGTTTCGCAAAGTGCGCTGTTTGAGTTCATAGTTATGTGACAATATATATTGTCAAACAGAACTGCCCGGTAAGCGGTAGGCAGAGAGGGAGAAGTGAACAACAAACAGGGGGCTGTGACGGACTGTTTCGCCGGAGGCCGGAGTTTCACTGTCTCATCAGGAGGCTGAACCCTCTACGTACAGTCTGCAGAGTCCCCTAAGCGATGATACTGAACGTGATAATCCGCCTTAACCCCGGTTGTGGCTAAGCATCAATGACTGCCCGACAAGACAACTAATACCCTGAGGTGGGCACCAACCACTGCCCTTAGCACACTGTCACTCACGCACGTGTGGGCAGCTTGCGCTCAAGTTCATCAACGTGGCGAGCGTTGTATGTGAGAGGAACAGAAAAGGGGGAGTTACAAGAATAGCGATAAAAATGAATGGTCTCAGTGCGCCCTTCATGTTTGTCTTGTGTATTTTTATCATTTGTTCCGCAAAGTGCGCTCATTTAGTTCATTGATGTGGTATTAACCACAACCGGGTTAAGGTGGATTATCACTTACAGTGTAATCAGTTAGTGGATTCTGCAGACTGTTGAGGGTTCAGCCTCCTGATGAGTCGGTGAAACTCCGACGAAACAGTTTGTCACAGCCCCTCGTTTGTTGTCCTCTTCTCCCTCTCTGCCTATGGTTCTGTTTGACGATATATACATGAGTCGGTAAAACTCCAATGAAACAGCCTGTCACAGCCCTTCATTTCTTGTTCCCCCCCTCTCTGCCTACGTTTCACTGGGAAGTTATCTATCGCGATATGTATAATCTCTAATCTCTGACACTCCTAAAGGATAACCCGGTCCTTGCGTGAAGCCCCCCCCTGGGCCCAGAGAAAACCAATGGCACTCGGAACGTCCTGAAAGGCGGGCCAAAATGTCTGGAATTGCATGTTGGGCTTTTGAGCAGCTGTGTCACCGGTCGCCGCGTGCGGCCCATGTCATATGACCCAGTCTGCATAGTACCGTCCATGTCTCTGATACTCCTAAAGGATAACCCACGTCCCATGGACGAATCATGCCTGATGTTGGGAATGTGTTATGAGTTTTATGACCCAGTTTGCCAGGGTGCTGCCTGATCCACATGATACTGCCCGGCCCACATAGTCTCACCTGCGCCTCATGATACTGCCCGGCCCACACAGCGTGGTCATGCCAAGGGCCGGGATGTGCCTAATTTTCGTCAGGTGTTTTCTTTTTCTTTTTTCGCCTGTGTCAGGACGAGGAGGAGCAGGTGTGCTCCGCGGGCGTAGCCACGGCGGGCATCCACTTGTAAATACTAAAAGAAGAAATAAAAGAGACACCATGAAGAAAAGCCAAATCAAGGAAAGAAGAGAAAGAAGTGTGCAGGAAAAGGCGAAAGAACGGTTTCGGTGTGCTTCATGCTGTCTGCTATATGTTTGTTTTTGTTTGGTTTGCAAAGTGCGCTCTGTTAGTTGATAGATACGCGGCATTGTAGACTTCTGTAATGAGTATGCTCAGCTCGGCCTTTCATGTCATCACCCACCTCATCCCTACCGTTCATGTCCTCTCTCTGGTCAAGGATGGACTGCCTCCTGAGTGTTTTCTTATCCGTCCGTATGCTCTCATCCTTATTCCACACTTCTTACTTTCTTTCTTTCTTTCCTCCCCCCGCCCCCCCCCGCCCCCCCCTTCTGAAAGTCCAGCCCCATCTACTCTGGGGGGCAGGTTGCTTATCACCGGCAAGCATGAGAAAACAAGAAGGGGAAAGGACCAAGAGAACCTCTCCCGCCCTGGGGGACAGTTCGGTGGCGCATGCCTGCACTAGGCCCCGCATAGTGGCCGGGAAACCTATGTTCGATACCCAAACGCACACTATGCGTGCCCCAGGGGGGTGTGGTGGTTAGGTTAGGGCCAGAGGGCTGATCCACCAGCCACCAGGTCTCCCGTTTCTCTCTCTCATTAATCTATCAACCACCAGATTGCTACTAGTTTCGTTTCACTTCGTGTACCGCCCATCCCTCCCATCCTCTGTACTTTGACCTCCTATACTTCTAAGCTTCTAACCTCTGCCTTCTCCTACCACCCCCCCTTAATTCCTCTCTCCTCCTCCTAAACTCAAGTCCCTTTTCCCCCATGCCACATTATCTGCCGAGCCCATTCAATTGGCCCAATGTCTTGTAGATATTCCCAATCTCCCAGTTTTACCCCATTATGATCCATCTTCTATTCCCTCCCCTAACCCCTCCCTCTCAACCTAACAGGTGCTCCCCCCTTCCCCCCTTCCCCCCCGTCCGATCGTACACGGGCCTGTACTGTCTACTGTCCACTAACTATTGTACACAGTCACCTGGGCCCTACTCTTCTATATTACTCCTTATTTTCCCTTTGTCTTCCTTTCCATCTTTAGAGGCACAGTAAAGGGAGTGCTAAAACAAGAAAGAGAAGGAGAAACAATGAAAAAACTTCAGAAACGCCAAACGGATGAATGAACGACAAGAAAGAACTTCCCAGGAAAAGGCAAAAGAACGGTTTCAGTGTGCCCCATGCTGTCTGCTATATTCTTCGATTGTTTTGCCAAGTGCACTCTTTTAGTTGATAGACATGTGACAATATATGCACACAGCTCAGCATTCTCAATACTGAGTCAGTACTACTCAATAGTCAATACCCTATTCTCCTGAAATGTGGCCACAGTTTCTTCAAGCAAGGTTCCATTTGTCTGCAGTGAACTGCCCACTTCCGCTCAACTGGTCAGGTCGTCATCCGCGCGATCATCTGAAGGGTCCGTTATTATCTTTTCAGTTGCGTTCTGAGCTATATACCCAGACCATGGAGTCTCTGACACAGATGCAGCTGACTGAACCCCCCTCGCTTCCTCTGCCTTGCACCCACACCTCCCCTCCCCCAACCCCAGCCAAACTCCCTGGGACTGATTGAGACGAAATAAATATGCGTGAATTCCAAAATTGAAAATTACTCTTTGCTCCACGTTTTCCACCAGCTCACAGTGCTGATCAATCGGCAGTTTCTTGTACCAGGCGGGTTTCATTTTTCGTGGACCTTTTCAGTTTGGTGGGTCACATCACAAAATGGCAGGATTGTCATCTGAAACGTGCAGAATGTGTGTCTATTTGTTGATCCCATTTTTAACGACTTTCATTTTTATCAGGTATTGATGGGCCAGCAGCAACATCCGCGCTCCACGTTGATTTCCGTCCCCTCCGCATTTATGATATTGGTGTTTGGTGTTTCGGCCTCCTCTTTGTGTTGATGTCTTCACGTAGTGACATCAATATGTCTACTTTTGTGTGATAAGCAGATGGCAGGCGGTGGAGATAAGAAGCCCTCTGCATCTGCTGAGGAAGATTCCACTGTCCAGGCCACTATCACGCCTCCTGCAGAATCAGGTGTGTGTGTGTGTGTGTGTGTGTGTGTTTCTAATCGTTAACTTTGGTGAAGGTGCATCATTCTTACTTTCAGCTTTTGGCCCCTGACTTTTTTCACTAAACTGTGTGTTGTCATTTTCCTTAACTTTTGTAGGCGTGCATGATGTCTCAGTTGCACCTTCCACCCATCCCACTTGCGTTTCTTGCTGTTCGTATGCTGGGGGACTGAGAACACTTAAACCACCGGTACTTGGCCCATACGTCGGCCGTAAGCCCTTACTGTATATGCGCCGCCCTCCGAACCAAAATGGCTGGCGGCGCCAGCCAAAAGGAGACCGGTTCGGTTCTTTTTGGCGCACGCCGCACACGACGTTTCCAGGGTCGGAGAAAAGTGCCTTGGAAGTACTGGTGGGTTAAGGCAGAATCTCCGACTGTGACTTTGATCAATCAATTGAACATCACCTTAAGTCAGGATTTCCAACG